AGAGGTTTTTGTGTTGTTTCTTTCAGTAGTTCTTGGTGCAGCGCCCCCACAGGCGAGCGGGGGAATAGGTTGGTTCAACAGGTTGGCTCGACTGCACAGTGCAGTGTGAATGCAAACGCACCAGCTCAAATGTAAACAAAATGTTATGAATATTGGTCCCCAACTGAACCGAGTCTACCGGACTATCAGGTGTGAATGCACCCTGAAATGCTTCAGATGTAGCACTCCACTTCTCTCACGCATTCCCCCTCCCCTCGGTATCGACTGAGGGGTTCAGATTCAAATCGAATAGATGAGTGCCCTACCAAGGCAAGTGACTGACCTAAGGGAAACTCTGGTGTTGTCTTCCTGTAGTTCAATCCCTTCAGTTGTGATCAGCTTGCCTCTCTTGCATACTAAAGTACTGACTTTCCTCATATAATTGGAGTGGCTGGGGGGGTGACCAAAGATGAATTTGTGGTGGCCAAGGCCACCATTGGCCACCCACTGTTTCCACCTTTGCACTGTTGATAAAATTACTCCCTCTGCTTGCCAGGACACATCATTGCACTGCCTCGGGCAAGCCAAAAAATAAAAATAAAACCTCCCCAACCTACTCTCTTATACACAATGTAAGTTCATGTCAAGTTGTGTTTATTTGTCATATCCAAGGTTAACACAAGGTTAACAGTACAATGAAATACTCAGGATGAGAAGAACCGATTTGACTAGCTAAAAAAATCAGACCAAACAAACAAGAAATGCTACAATTATAATGGTACAAAAATAAAGTACCAAAAAGTGAAATAGTAATTATATTTACAATATCCGAAGTAAGTTATACCCATCTGAACATCTTGCACCAAAAAAATTACTTGGCACATATTAGGGCATTGGTAGTATATTGTACACTTTTTAATACAGAAAGGCCACCTTGGGCTACATACTGTACACTGTAAAAATAAATAAATCAGCCTGCCTGGTCCAGACCGAAAACAGCAGGTGCTGTAGAAGAAGTTAGTTGGTGGAGAACTTTATTCAAAAGGCTTTAATTCCTTTAAATGTATTTTATAAATTGACTTTACTATATGGACCCCAGAATGTTTGTCACCTTTTCCTCGGATGTTTTTATACTGGTGTGATGCTCGTATTTATGCTGCTGGAAACAATTGTTTCTGCTTTTGCTTTTTAACAATTCTTAAACCCAGCATTAAATATTTGATCTGTTTTTTGAACATAAGAATTCTTGATACAAAGAGATAAATGTTTTTGAACACAGAAAATGCATCATTACAAAAAAATAAAATAAAATTGGTATATAAGTATATATTATTAAAAAACTAGAAAATCCATCCATCCATTTTCTTTACCCGTTTATTCCATTTTGGGTCACGGGGGTCGCTGGTGCCCATGTCCAGCAATCACTGTGCGAGGGGCGGGGTACACCCTGGATGGGTCGCAAGTCCATCACAGGGCCACATAGAGACAAACGAGACAAACAACCATTCACTCTCTCACTCACACCTAGGGACAATTTAGAGTTACCAATCAGCCTAACATGCATGTTTTTGGTCTGTGGGAGGAAACCGGAGTACCCGGAGAAAACCCACGCATGCACGGAGAGAACATGCAAACTCCACCCAGAAAGGCCCCTGGACCGGGGTTTGAACCAAGGACCTGCTCGCTGAGAGGCAGCAGCTCTACCAGTTGCGCCACCGTGCTGCCCAAAACTAGAAAATGAATAGTCTTTTTTTGACAGGCTAATAATGTCCAGCACTGCCCAATTATGTTAGAAATTGTGACAAAACTGTCAGGGGGTAATAATGGCACACTAAAAGAAAATATTACTCAGTAAGGCTGAAGAAGCTGTCCTTTTAGAGGCACTAATAATAGTATTAACTGAACTATTTTGATGTATAATGTCTGAGAAAGAAGTCTGAAAGAAGAGGAGAAAATGGGATATTGTCCATCTTCCAACTGAGATCCCCTGAAGCTGGACATTTAGTAAAACACATATAAAACTGTCTGGCACTTTAGACTCATTGAGATTTCTTTTGACAAGCCTCCCAGTATGAAAGCAAAGCAACACAGAATGGATACTGCTGCTTTCTGTTTATGAGCCAAACGTAGTTAACGTTTACCACCGCTCATATTTATGTTTTTAATGGCTGTTCCAGAAAGGATGGATGGATTTACAGGCATTCATAAAATAAATCTGTCCCAGGGTTATCTTCTCTGTTGTTCTACACCATTGTCTTCTTAAATCACACAAACTAAACGTTTAACTTATTTTAGGAAGTGGTTGACGAGGAAAAACCCAAAGAGTGGTATTAATAAAGTGCTTTACAGGAAGCTAAGATAAACAGAAAGCTAAATGTAAAGGTTTGTGTCCAGCTCTGTGTGGTGTATAGATTGTCTTCTTAGGCCCCTGGCTGTTATTTATGTGGCCCACATGTTTATGGTTTGTTTGTCTTGAAAGTATTGTGTGTGTGTCTTCATATCAGCCTTTTTTGTCAGTTGTTATGTGACCACGTTGGATCTTGAGCACATCCTGGACCACTGTTTAGCCCTTGGAGGTTGGTGGTTTGCGTTGTTTTTGAAGAACTAGCGATATATGATCCAATATAAATAACTGGGTGATTGATTTAATCAGATTTAACTCCAAACTGAGTGTTCGTCAATTGTATCCCTTTGAATTTTTATTGAAGATCATTCTTGCTGCAACAGACAATTCATAGACATACTGTTCACGATAGACCTTGAACACTAGAGCGAGTTCTCATTCTTTGTGTTGTCACCATGTGAAATCACAATGAAAAGTCTGTACCAGTGCAACCTCTTTCAAGCAAATGTTTTACCTGTAGTCCCACGAATATAGTTCAAAAAGCCTTAAAATGGTTTAAATAAAATCTCACATACAAAATACAGTGTTACACAATTATTTTTAACAAAACCTTGCCACAATGTGACTGCTGTGTGTAGAAATGCTTTTACCATAAATGTAGATGCAAGTTTGTTTGTTTTCATTTGTATTTTTTATTTGGTTTTCAAACTCAAGACTCTTACTATAATGAGATGATTAAATTTATTCTAACTGTTGGTGATGAAGTAATTTTCAGTGTGTTTAGGGGTAAACAGGCTTTAATGAAGCTGAGTTATTACTTCCTCCCAGGGGGCGACGCTGTAAACTGTTCCAACAGGAAGAAGGGACATTATGCTGTATCTTACAAACTGCATGGGCTGTTGGTATATTTTTCTAGCCAATCTGAAAAATTATGAAAACCAAAATGTCTTCAGCTTTTTGACATGTTAAGAATCGAAGAGTTTTCATCCACATTATATTTGGCTTGATAATGCCGTTGACTTCTGCTTTTGATGAATTAGCCTGTGCAAATTGTGCAAATTGAATTAGTCACTCTGGTAAATTGTGTGTTGACTTTGAGTTGAACTATGTTAAAATTTATCTTGACAGTTGGCTTGAACTGCAATTTTTTTTAGGGATGGGGCCGATCCGGTATTGGTATCGGCCTCCGATACCAGCATAATTTACATTTTGGATTTTTCCGATCCAACCTGCAGAGATTTCCAATCCATGATGCATGTCTGTGTCTGTTAAAACTTCTCGTCATGTGATTCCCTGCCAGCTGTTCTGCACGTTGGCTTCAAACTATGGAATGGATTTCCTTAACTGAGTCGTGTCTTATGAACCCAGAGTAATAAGACCCGCCTCACATTCAGGAAATCCATTTCATGGTTTGCAGCCAGCTACAACGTGCAGTAGCACTGTGGCTAACGGCTAACCAACTTTTCATCGAAACATGTCCACTCTGTGGAAGTATTTTACACTAGAAACACCACAAAGCAAGACGGCAATGTGCAATGTCTGCAGAGCCATAGAACCACATTAAACCGCAGTAAAGTTAGTTTTACGTTGGACATAAAATCAGACTGCCTGTTTCAGACTGAACGAGAAGAACATACCGCTGAAGCCACGGAGCTCGTATGTGCTGCTGTTCGACGTAATGTTTTTATGCTATTAGTGCTTAGTGTAAATTTAGTTGATGTTTTTCTTAATTCATATCTTAGATGTTATCATTGTTTTTCTTTTACATTTTATTGTTGGATGTAACTGGGACCCTGTGTACATAATTTCGCTCCACCACATGTACCATTTGAGGTGCGAATGACAATAAAGAATTTCTGACCCTGACTGGAATGTTTACCGAGAAGTTGCTAAACTTCATCGTAATTAATGACCAACCGCTATCAGTTGTAGAAAACGAAGGATTTCACAGCTTGATACTTGCAGCCAAGATATAGTTTACCCTCCAGGAGATATTTATCAGTACAACAGTTGACAATCATAAAAATGCATTTGAATTGAAAATTACAAGAAATTAAAAAACAAAACAAAAACACCTACATTATAAAGCGATGTAAAATACAAAAAAAACAGGAACATGTCTGCATTGGTTTATGCCATGAACTTAGCAGATGTTTAAAACCATTATTTTTATTTTATTTTATTCATTCATTTAAAATAGACTAAATAAATAAAACCATCAAAAGAAAAAACATTGAATGAAAAGAGTGCAGAAAGAAGAAAAAAACTCTTATATCTGCCCCTTATTTGAAAAAATATGTATTTTTAAACAGTCACTTAAATTAGCCACTTAATTTAATAATAACAGTCACTTAAATTGGGGGAGTGGTGGCACAGAGGTTAGAAGATGGACCTGTGATCGGAAAGTCGCAGGTTCAACTCCAGGGACCGTCAACATCAAAATGTGGGTGGAAAAGGTGAAACACCCACACCTGCCTCACCCTCATTTGCCCCACCCTGGCCCCCTGAGCAAGGCCCTTAACCCCCACCATCTGCTCCCTAAAACAGAAAATTGAAAATTAGTTCTCGTGGCTCAATGAGACTACCTGTATAAATAAATGGTAAATGAAAAAGACAGGAGGAAGAACTGGAAGTGGCAGAAATTAAGATGTTGAGGTTCTCCTTAGGCGTGACAAGGATGGGTAAGATCAGGAATGAAATCATCAGAGGTACAGCACAGGTTGAACAACTGGGAGATAAAGTTATAGAGGCCAGACTGAGATGGTTTGGACATGTCCAGAGGAGGGACAGTGGGTATATTGGTAGAAGGATGTTGGAAATGCAGCTTCCAGGAAAAAGACAAAGAGGAAAAATATGGATGCAGTTAGAGAGGACATGGTAGTTGAAGTGAGGACAGAGGATTCAGAGGACAGTGTTAGATGGAGGAGGATGACTCGCTGTGGCGACCCTTGAAGAGAGAGCAGCGGAGAAAAAAGGAAGGAATAGCTGTTTGAAATATAAAGGCTATTTAGAAAATACATGTTGTAAAATAACAAAATTTAAGGGGACGATAAAATTTCCAAACATAATTATTGGATTGAAGTGAGATCAATCAACATGGTCAAACTGGAATGAATGAGGAAACTAAACATTTTCTTTCTATTCCTGGATGATTTCTTTGTCAGATTCCCTCACTGCCAGCACTGATGCTTGGTTTGCAGGATCCTTCAGAACTGTCAACAAACTAAAAGAGGAATACTTTGAGATCAGAAAGATGAAATATGACACTAAATCTTATGCATAATATGTGCAAACATTCTCCCTATGGTGCGTAAGTACTGATAAACACTGGATGTTTTAATGGGGAGGCGCAGTACAGGTATTAACTGAAAACAGGCGATTAGGTTGTGGTGTTTGTCTTTAAGGAGGAGCAACTTAAACCCAGTGTCTTAAAAATGCTAAAATAATAACAGCAAGGCTTGTCTTGTCATACTAGATGACACTGAGGCAGCTTAAGAGATACGCACAGTTCCACTTCATAGTTTTGCATCTGGTGCTGCAGCAGCTTATGGTTCTGTTGTTTTTAGTCCTGATGGGTACAAAGTTACACAACACAATTATCAATTTTTTTGTAGAAATATTTAATTCGCTGATAGGTTCTCCTGGGTTGTCCTCGTTAGGTGCATCAGAATTGTCCTGTATCATGTATATCTGTCCACAGTTCACTGTTTGGTCACGCTGCCCTCCAAGTAATTCGGCCTTCCAGTTATGACGAGTCTGATGGCGTCGTCTTACTGATAAGCTTTGTTCAACTGAGCAGGCAGATTCTGCCACTTGGATTGGTCTCATCCCTGAAATGCTCTGTTGGACATTTCTCTTGTAATTCACTGGTAAGAATCAACAAGCTGGGTCTACTGGTTCCGCTTGTCTTTTTGCCATCAAAGTGCGCATGTTCAAACTTGTAAACTGTTTCCACTGTGCTGAAACAACATGGCTACTGTTTGGTGTTTTTCTGTTACTTGATGTGGTACAGCTTAGCTCTTTCCTGCATCGTTTTTCACTGCAGAAAGTTACCTCGACTTCAGGAGGATCAGCAGCGTGGTACATTTGAACAAAACCCAACTTCTGTGTGCATGTGTGTTAATTTAATGTCATTCTTGTAACACAAACTGCTATCCAGTTATTGATTGTTGCTCCAAATAGGTTTGCAGGAGGCTTTTAGCACAGACGGACTTTATTTTTGAATGGCTCTAATAATGAAATGCTCAGCTCAGGTGAGCGAAGTAAAATTCACAGAAAATTGATAGTTAAATCCACACTCACGCTTCAAAAATCATACTTGTCTCCATTTGTCTTGAACACAATATGTGGTAAATGAGCACAGAACTAATATCTATGATTAACTTTATGTTGCTGGAGTTTCAAACAACTTGTGAAAACAAAGAATCGTGTCTGTGCGCTGCAGAGACTCTATTCACCCCCACGGTTGATAATTCTCTGACTAATCAGCAGTCTGCATTCTTTCCTTCTCACCGTATGGTTTCAGCTGGGCTTGCTGTGAACATCAGTTACAGATGGACAAAAAAGAAAAAATACAGCTTTAGTTACAAGATAAAACATATGATCAGAAACTAAAACAACTGAGCAGCATTACATGATTGCTGACCACAAAACATTTCTTTTGCATTATTTTGTTCAAACGAAGAAAAAGAGGTAAACAAAGCACTAAACTTTATCCCTTTTTTTAAATAAATAATTGAAAATGTATTTTTACACAATATCACTTGTGGTTGATGTACTTCTGTACATCTTGTTTTTTATTACAAAAAATGTGTTCTTGTCTGGTGACTTGATTTTTGTATTGCTGTTGCGACAACACACTGCGCCATTGAACTTGTTTGTATTAAATCAGATTTACTGTCAACATTATTAATAACTGTGGAAGGCAGAGGGCAGAGCAGAAAATGAAAGCGAGGAGGTGAAGGTGCTGACAGAGGGCTGTATAATAAGCCCTTGTACCTTGCTCACTCCACATCTCTTTTACCAATAATCGAACTGCCTGCCTCAGAGACCATGCTCACATCATTCAATCAGTCCGTATTTCCATAATATATGTATGGATTATGAGACGACACAATTTGAAGTCATATACCGTATTTTCCACGTACCCGTCGCACCGCCCTATAAGTCACATCAGTCCAAATATGTCTAAAAAAAAGTGGAACAATCCATAAATATGTCGCTTCGCCGTATACATCGCATCTATTATGCATCACCGCTGACGCGTCGTGTTTGTGACACGTCACCGCTGACAACCCAGAAATGTGGGCCGAACCTGGAAATGTGAGCCGGTGTTGTGCCAAAAATCGATGGGCTGTCAAATGGCAGCCGCAGGAGCATGACCAGGAGGACTTTAACAGAAATTTAACAAGATTAACACTTAAAACAATTGTTTGTTTGCTCGAAATTATAGTAAAGGTGTTTCTCAGTCTACCTTTCGCTTTATAAATGTACTTTAACGGTCAAATCAACTGTATTCGCTGCCTCGGTGCTCCGAGAGCGCGCAGAGGGAGGAAAAAAGGAAGGAGGAACGCTGCTTGTTTCTTTGAAATTTAACAAGAAAATCCTTATAAAAAATCATTATAGCCACGTTTACCTATTACGTGATACAACAACATGCCTTACTGCTACTATTCTGCTGCCATCTAGCGGCTGGAAATGGTACCATTCTTTTTTTTTTCCAGTCAGCATGAATAAAAATGGTCATATCTCAGCCAAAAATTGGTTTATAAATATGGGGGAAAAATCCATAAGTACGTCGCTTCAGCCTATAAGTTGCAGGACATGCAAATGATGCAAAAAACAGTGACTTATTGGCCGAAAAATATGGTATTTAAAAATGCGTAAAGCTGAAACTAGATTGCCAACTTCCTGTGCTGTGTTCAGCAGCTGAAAGTTGGCTTAATTGTTCAGAATGAAGACCAAAGCTTTGCTGGACAAAGCTGGTCCTCTCATTGATATTCAGAGGCTCTGTGAGTGAGAGCTGTAAACAAGCAGGAAGACCTGGAATTGGCACTCAAGGCATGTTGCAGGACATACACACACACACAAGCCACAGCCCCCTCCACACACTCTCCCTCTCTTGTCTTCTCTCCTCGCCCTCTACGGGTCTAGTCATATGCAGCACATCAGCAGCTTCTGGAGAGCGTAGCATTTCAAAGCAGAGCCGAGGAGGGTAGGGCAGGCGGCGTGGCCCTGTGTGGCCCATCCGGTGCAGAGAGGGAATCTTCTCTCTCTCTCCCCCAGCTAATGTTGAGCATTTTTCTCTTTCTCTCTTTCCCCCCTCTCATCTCCAGAGCTGCAAGCAGAGCAACAGCCAAGCTCCTCCTCTCCTGCCACTCAGGAACTGATGACAAGGCTGGGATTTTTACTGGGAGAAGGGATCCCGGGTACAACACGCATACCTATGGACGACAAGAATGAAAAGAAGGTATTTGATTTTCCTCCCTCCCCTCTACTGTCCCTCCCCTCACCCAACAGCAGCTGCCGCCGCTGCTGCAGCACTCCGATGGAGAGCTGATGAGAGGAGAGGCTAGTTGTCACAGAGTAACAGCTGAATGGATTATTTTGTTGCTACCTGATTTGTTCCCCCCGAGTTATGGACCGTTTAAGGTGTAATATTTTCTTGACACAAGAAGCAATGGTAACTCTCAGACTGTTTAATTTCAACAGTTAAATGTGTTTTTAAAAAAAGTAAGTGAATATTTGAAATTGGTTGCATGTTTTGTTTTTTCCTGCACATTTGTCTTTCTTTAACTTAAATGCTATTTAAGTGTCTCTGGAGTATGTAACAAGAGCATCTGAGCTCATGTCCAGGAATAGAGTTATGCTCGGTCTGCGCCTGGCTCTACTAATTAAGCTGGGACTGAGTGAGGAGCAGAGCCCAGTATGCTGCATTTTCCTCAATCATCTTGTGTCCTGGGCATGTTTTGACACCGATCTGGCAAATTTAGGAACGTGAGAGCGGCTCAGAACAAGTCTTATGAATCATAGTCATAAGAGATGTCACAAGAGGGGATGGGCATGGGAATCTAAAGGTTTGGACTTTGTTTTTGTGTATGTAGGTGTGTTTTCGTCGCTCATTATTGTCATCTGAAAGTAGTTTTGTTCTTCGTGTCTCCGTTTTACAGCATGTCTTTAACTCAGCGTGTTTCACTCTTGCCTTGAAGCCAATTTTAAAATCCCACTTTGGCGTTTGACTCGCACTGTGTTGTTTGCATACAAGCAGGAGGCATATAAAAATAAAGAATGCTCCTCAATTGTGTCAGAAATCTACTAGTTGTTCATCAAGCTGCAAACTTTCTAGCAATCTTCCGCTTTGTCTTCTTTTAGCATAAATATTTAGACGTTCAAACAGAAACCCTAATTGCGAATTAAAAAAAACTCTTTAAAAATTCATACTACACAGTAGTTATTTTGAAATGCAGTAGTAAGGTTTTAAACAGAATAAAGAGAAGGTGATTACATAAATATTTTACAACGCAAACTTTATGAAAAGCATTCATAAAAACAAACAGTTTTCTGAGGTTTTCATTGGTAGTTTGATTGAGGCAATACATAATTTAGCTGTAGCCCTGTAAACAAATTTGCTGCTTGGAAAGCAAACAAAATATCTGCAACCAACGGTGTGTGCAATGACATAATTCAACCTGTAGTTGTTTTTAGGATGAATCTTTAATGCTGAGGCTTGCACAGTCATTCATGCATGTAAGCAATATCTACTGTGACTAATCCAGCTCCCAACACCTTAATAAATGTAACTTTCATGGTGATATACAACAAAGTTAAATCAGGTCCTCTGGACGGTTTGTTTTTTATTGAAACATTTCGTCCTTCATCCAAAGGACTTCATCAGTATGTGGCGCCACAACTAACTCAGTCTCATAAATAGCTTACTCTCAGAGTGGGCCAACCAGTTTTATAGTGATAAGATGGTTTATGGAGTCCGCACTCTCCCCCATCGATTCCTCTGAGGCAGCCATATCCAAAGTGGTTCAAAACATCAAAGTTCATTCTCAACAATTCAGTAGGCTTGTCACAATAACAAATTTTGCTGGGCGATTAATTATCTCAGAAATTATTGTGATAAACGATCATATTGTTTGAAATTTGACAATAATTAGTAATTATTTTCAAATTTAATAAATGTTGATTTATTTGTTTTGAGTGTAGTACCTTTTTTTGACCACCGGATGGCAGTATAGGACTGTTTGAACCAAAGGATGGATAGTGAGGGAGCGAACAGTGTCTCTTTAAGAAAAATGGAGGGAGGTCCCTTGATGTGACATGGGCTGTCTCTCCTTGCTTTTTTGGGTTCTCAAAATGGCGGTCGCTCGGTTTGATTTGAGCTATTTAGCATAGCATTTTTCACACACAGATTTTAATTAAAAAATCAGTAAATAAGTTCTGAGCTTCTTTTTGCAAAGAAAAGCAGCTTTTTAGATGAAGGCACGGGTTTCAACCATGAATTTTGGAGCTTCGAAAAGACAGAGGTTTTCCCCCCCGAGGTCGGCCTGTTAGCTTAGCTCGTAGCTTAGTTTCTAAACTTAGCTGCTTTTAACGATCCAAAAACGTGATTTTTGGACGGTTAAAACAGATTTTAAAGAGAAAAGAGAAAAAAAGGGGTCAGTGAAGAGCACCGGAGGTGAGCCTTTTGTCATCCAGTGTCTTCAGTAGAAAGAGAGAGACACAAAGAAACGATAAAGCCGATAAATGAAAATGAGGTTGATAATTTTCATTCATTGTGCGATTAATTGATTTATTGTTAATCCAGGTGAAAATCCAACAAAGTTAAGTCAGGTCTTCTGGATGGTTTAGTTTTTTGGTGAAACGTGTTGACCATGGCTGCCTCAAAGGAGTCGACGGGGGGGAGGAAAGGCCCCAAAAAGCATTGTATCACCATAAAACTGGTTGGCCCAATATGCGAGTAGCCAGTTATGAGACTGACTTTGTTGTGGCTCCTTGGACTGATGAAGTCCTTTGGATGAAGGACAAAACGATTCAACAAAAAAAGAAACAGTCCAGAGGACCTGACTTAACTTTGTTGGATTGTTTTACCTGGATTATTGAGCATGAACTTTGATACACGGTGATATGTCATAGTTCTATGTGCTTTTGTCCATAACATACATTTAAAAAAATCTAAATTATTAAATTTTTTGATATTCATTCAACCTTTATTTATACAGGTGAGTCTCACTGAGTCACGAGGACTCATTTTCAAGAGAGACCTGTACGATAAGGACAAGTCTAGCCAAGAGAGACAGATATTTCATAAGGAAGTACACAGAGGATACTGAGTAACATTGTCTTTAAGTAGTTTGGCTCGTCATACAATGGCACATTGACGGCCTTCAGATACGTTGTATTTTGTTCACAAAAAAAGATGAGACAGAACATTTGAGGATTAATTTAGATTTCTTTGGTTGTCAGTTCTACCAAAGATCCAGCTCTCGTATGGTTGTCAGTGTGGCTTGATGGCAACAAAAGTTTATCTATTGTGTCACAACAAAGTGCAGTTTTCTTCCCTTGTGAATTTTTTCTTTGGGCTTACTTTGGTTCCTCCAAACATATAAATATGAATGTGTTTTTTAAAACCTTGTGCCATCTACAGTGTGCATACCCTTCAGCTTGTGTGTCATGCTCACATGCGAAACGCTTATTTGTGAAGGAATTTCTTCTATTGCTTTCACATGATTCTAGTCAGAAAACTTTACCTTTTACAGCCATACTTTTCCTTACAAAATAAGTTGGAAAACATGTTTTTTTTAGTCATATTTCATTTCACAAAAATGTAACTTCTTACAGAATGATAATTTAGATTAACCTTTTTCATATTTCATTTAAATTCTTGGATTATTGAACTCTTCTTTTATGTCCTCAGTGCGATCTGACCAGCCAGGGTATTAGCCCTTGCTCTACACTGACCAGCAGCACGGCGTCTCCCAGTACCGACAGTCCATGTTCCACCCTCAACAGCACGACGAGTCGACCCCCGCTCAGCCGCTCCAGCCCCTGTGGGACCATCACCAGCCCCAGCTCTACACTTGAAAGCAAAGACAGCGGGATCATAGGTGAGAATCCACCCCCTCTTCAGCCTTTCATGGTAAATGATTACAGTTTAAGATAATAAGTCATTTTGGACAGTATATAAAGACACTTAAAGGCAAATATTTGAATTTATGTAGCCATATTAAAAAAAAAAGGGGTTTTGATGTGAGCTCAATCCTCAAGTTTGCAGTTTAATGCGACATTTGGACCGAAAGTGAAATATCAGTGAAGTCAAAAGTTCATTTGGCTTCACTGATTTCTTGTCATCTAAAAGTCCAGTGTTTTGCATAAAATTCTTGGTTTTTTTTTTCCTTTCTATTTTTTCTTCTTGGAAAGATGTTACTCAATACCTGTAGGGTGTGTAACACGGTGCTGTCAGTCATTTGTCACTCTGTCAGACTTATCGAGGCTGAATTGCATTTGTATCGCATGATGTTCACCTTGTATGCCAGTCGGTGGGTTTGTATAAAGCTGCTTCAGCACGATAGAGCAGCAAGTTGACAGTTGCATCAGCTCGACGTGGCGCTGTAACTCCAGTACTAGCCCTATGAGACATCTGGGGATTTACACAGGCTGACAGAAAGATGGTAAAGTCTATTGATGCATTAATTCATCCTGCTGTTTCAATTCTCAGTGCCTCGAGTGGCTTTATAAATGTCAAGATTATATTCGGGAACCAGGTTTGGAATATTCGGAGTGAGAACTGAATAGCAAACAGTAACTTTATGACCGCGCAGTCTTCCAGAGTATTTCTTGTTTTGAAAGAAGAATAATTTGGGGAAAAGTTAAATTTTTCTATTAATTAAGCTGAAATATGGTTACTACATCTATAACGTAAAGGCAAGTCAAAGTGCACAATGCAGTGACAGTAGCTATATGTGTATATATATATATATACTGCATATATATACATTAGTCCATTGCTTATCATGGGATCCATACCCTGGAGCCCTGCAATAAATGAAAAACCGCCAAGTAGGAATAGTAGTACAAGTAGTAAGTTAGTAAGTAAGTAAGGTAGTTTATTTTAGTATACAAGTACAAATGCAATTCAACCTCTATAAGTCTGACAGAGTCACAAATGACTGACGGCACCGTGTTACACACCCTACAGGTATTGAGTAACATCTTTCTAAGAAGAACATATGTCCGGTGGCCTTTCTTGGTGGAGTTTGCATGTTCTGTCCGTGCATGCGTGGGTTTTCTCTGGGTACTCCAGTTTCCTCCCACAGACCAAAACATGCATGTTAGGCTGATTGGTAACTAAATTGTGCCTAGGTGTGAGTGTGTCTCGTTTGTTTCTATGTGGCCCTGTGATGGACTTGCGACCTGTCCAGGGTGTACCCTGCCCCTATATATACATATATATATATATAAAAGGCATTTTAAACCATTCCCACACTCTTGCAATATTCCAAACAATGCTTCTAAACTCTAAATGCTCTAAAAGAACACAGCATGTCATGATTTCATGACATCTGTGCCGAATGCAGCCTCTCGGCCACGCCCACTTCTCCACTGCAGAACGGAGATTGACAGAGGAGGGAGGAGGAGCTGCCAGAGGAAGTTTCTCCTTCAGTGTGGACTGCACACATGTGCAGCGATTCATTTTATATAAAAAATTCCATGCTGATCATGCGGCTCATCCATCAAACAACCAGTTGTGTGTCATGTCCAATCTTGTTTTAAAAAACCGCGATAAAGTCAGCGAAAAAAACGAACCACGAATTAGCAAGGGACTACTGTATGTATATTTATTTATTTATTTATTTATTTATTTATTTATTTATACACAGTATATATATTTATTTATACACAGTATATATTTATAAAGAAAATGAAATGATAGCTCTGTAGTAATTATAAATATATTACCTGAGTTACGTATCCCAAACATTCAACACTCCAGTGTTGATCAATCTGATTGTCATGAGTCATTCAGTGCCCTGCATTCCCCCAAAGCAAAACCTCTGCAAGCTTGTGAATAATTTATGAAAACTGTGATATAGTATATTCCAGCTCTGAGGCTGTGATGCAAATCAAAATTAATCGTTTGAGGTAAAGCTGCAGTGTTGATCCACAAGTGTCAGAAGATCTTCATCTATTAGAAATTGTTACAAAATAACATTAAAGGAGAAAGAGTGTGAAGAAAGTGTATCATTTAAACTTTAATGTTGAGGACTGTACAAAACAGCTTTACTGTTTTTTGAGGGAGTTGAATGTGTTCGATAATGAACCACGGTGCTACAACAGCTCGTCCCTCCTGCCTGGAAAAACGTGGTTCAGAAAAGAAACGACAAAGCTGTGCTGCACAAGTAGGATTCCTGTCTGTGATTAATACTTCCCGTTCTTTGAAGTGTTCACCCGGACTTTGGTTTGAAAAGCACATTAATTAAACTTTGTGCTCCATTAAAAGCTTGTTTAAAAAAACAAACAAATAAAAATCCACGAAACAGCTGGATAGGGCACGTAGAGAAATATTTGAAACAGACTTAAATTTCTGATTCTACGTAATTCTTTTAAACACATCTAAAGCCAGATACACCAAGATTTGAACAAGTAACGTCTTCTTGTCTGAACCTACAGTTTAACCAATCAATTGCTTTAACTTTCTCAATGTGGATTATTTTAAATAGATGTCCAGAGCTCAGTTAGATTTAGGTGTTTGCATGAATGACTCCATGTTTACAGTGATAAACTGCACTGGAGTCACAAGGTCCAGAGTGTTTGTTTTATTAATGATGATGCAATGTGGCGCAGTGTAATGAAATCCAGATTAGCAGTGTGTCTGAACGCGACCAGGTGGTCGATCTGTTGTAGCGCTCAGGCTGTATTAATAGTTTCCTATCTATCTGCTTGTCAGCTCTCCACTCAGCATGGATTACTGTTAGATCGCCCCAGGAAGGATTAGTGGACTTACTCTCATTTAAACAAAACATCTGTCTGAACAGGAAATTTATGAGTTTTTAACTATTCTTTTGTGTTATTTTTGCATGTTTGGGTGTAAACAAATTTATATTTGTACATCGTCTAATTGTTGTTTTGACTGTATACTCCAAATTCTTGAAAATTAGAGGGTTAAAAAAAAGGCTCTAAGTGAATTCCTTCAACAAATCCCACAAATCTAAGCTGCAATATTTCCAAGTTATTTATCAGTGCAAGAAGACTGTCGCTGTAAATTTAAATTGAGCTTCTAACACTGTTGATAAGGGTAATGAGGAAAATTAGTTATTCACTTTCATTAAGTTCATCACAAAAGATTAAGAATGATAAAGACAAGTTTTATATCACACTGAAATAATTGCTTTAATATTCCCTGCTTCTTTCCCTCCTTGTTATCGTTTAGCCACCATCACTAGTTCTTCGGAGAATGACGACCGCAGCGGCTCCAGCCTTGAGTGGAGTAAAGATGGCAGTCTAAGAAGCAGCGGGCGCCATGGCCTGGCGCAGAGTGTCCGGGCCGACACGTGCTCCCCTGTGGTGGAAGAAGACTCCAGCAGCGCCACAACAACACCAGCTGACACTCCTTCTAGGACAGACCACCAGCAGAAGCCGCCCTACATATCAGCGGGAACTTCGGGGTCTTCACGACTTCCAGGTCACTCACCCGAGGGACCAAGCCAATACCCGTCGCAGTCGTCGTCTCTCATGATGCCGAGACCGAACTCTGTCGCTGGTAAGAAGCATGAGCTCTCACGACCATCTTGTCTGAATTTCTTTGCCTGTCAGCTCAATATTTTGTCTCAAGGTAAGGACATGTGACAAGTGGCATGCTGTTTTAGTTGAGGTTAACGACGAACCCCGAAGGGTAGGAGCATGACGAGATTTACAAGTCCAAGTTGTGCTTTTCACAGCTGGCTATCAGGCCAGAAGTTTAGGATTAGGCAGCTGCTGCGTATTGTGCCTCAGCTCTGACTGCCCCTGTCAGACCTGAACACAAGCCACTGCTTGGCTGATCAGTTCTGCATTCCTGCCCTTGAACCTCCCTGTTGTGGTTCAGCTCACCATCTCCACACAGCTGTCACAGTTGTTGATATAACTCAGTACCCCCTTCTCCTTTTATGCCCCCTCCTTATTTCCATTCCTGGGTCTCCCTCGTCTTCAGGTTTTGCTGCCGTTGCATTTGACCTTGGCCTTATTGTTGAACTGGCATTTATAAGCTATTACTTTGTGCTCTGTTGTACACCCGGGGGTCATAAAGTCACTGACAGTTATTGGATTCTTATGTGTGGCTGAAGAAGAAATCACCAACAGTGTAGTCTACAACTCTCGTGTAACCACAGGGTGATGATTTTACTGCATGCTGACTCTGCATGCTCCGGGTAAGATTTAATAGCTACTTGAAATAACAGAATAAACACAAAGGGCATGAGTCCAGTATTTGTCTAACACGCCAGTGTGTGTGTAGCTTTAAGGTAAGCACTGCTTAGGGAGAGCATAGATTGTGTAGAAAAAGAGGTTGCATTCTCAAAGGCAATCACAAAAAAGATGTTATAAGAAAGAGTGCATCTAAAATTAACCATAGAAGTTATGGAGATTCAAGATGATTTGAACTTGGAAAAATTCTAAACACAAGTTAAGTCAGACTGTTAGCCAAGACAGAAACATGTCCAAGCTAAAAACAGCAGAATCCAGCTTGCATCTCCTGCTGGGTCAATGAAGTGTTTGTTTCTTTTTAACAAAGCTGTATATATCTTATTTATTATTTTGTGTGTCATAAACTTTAACTGCTTAGATGCACAGTGGCTCATAAAGCTAGCAGACCAGGAAATGTTTAGCAGTGTGTGTGTGTGCTTGTTTTCATGTGTGCAGCCGTTTTTTTTTTTTTTTTTTTTATGGGCTGATGTCATAGTTATGCAGCGTTGCCCTCTGGGGACCTTGGCGGTTCACACCTTAGATTTTACGCCGTGTGACAAAAACCATGGGAGAGGACATTGAGGACGTGGGGAGATGGCTTCATTTATGGTTCCAACCAGACTGAAGACATCATGGTGGGACAGGAATAGCGCTTCTGTTCAACCAACGCTCAAGGGAATTGTATTCAGTAGAGAGATTATGATCATTCTGACAACCGTGCAGGGAAATGGAGAAACTGGTTCACTTTTGTAACTGGCCAAAGGTTTAAAAGGTAATTCAAAACACTGAGTATAATTTAATAAAAAATCTGACTGGCCTTTTTTGTTGAGAACATTTTTTATTGTTTAGATCAGGAAGCTGTGCACAAAGTAGAAAAATGAATTTTGTCATAGCTAAATAAATCAACTCAGGTAGGTGTTATGTCTGTTTTGGGGATCTAATTGTTAACAGTAGATCTGAGTGGTTCCCAAGATCATGCTGAGCTGAGGAGGATGTAGAACTTTTTCTCTTAGCATGAGACAAGTATAAATGTGGAGGTAGTTATTATTTCAATGACTGTTTTATATTCCAACCATTGTTTTATGATAATGGCCTAAACATTGTTTAACAAATATCCCTTTCCTTCGCGTTGTGACTTGGCTGTCTTCAAGGTATGATGTGAGCAGCTGTATCAAATCCAGAATTTAATTCAAAATCTTCCTTCTAACCTACAAAGCCCTCAACAACCTAGCTCCATCTTATATTACAGATCTTATTGTTCCATATTTTTCTAACAGAGCACTTCACTCTTGGACTTTAGGTTTACTTGTGGTTCCTATAGTTTCCAAAAGCAGAATGGGAGGAAGATCTTTCAGTTATCAGGCTCCTTTCTTGTGGAACCAATTTCCAGTTTCTGTCCTTATTGTCCATTTTTAAGACTGGACTTAAGACTTTCCTTTTTGATAAATCCTATAGTTAGGGTTGGCTTGTTATGCTGCTATAGACTTAAGACTACTGGAGGACAAATTGACCTCATTTCTTAAAATGAATTTTAAAAATTAAATAGTTTTCATTGGATACTATTTCTATCTTAACACGTGATTCATGACCTGCCATTGTGTATCTGTTCCTACCAAACCCAGCCGGTCGAAGCAGATGGCCGCTTGTCCTGAGCCTGGTTCTGCTAAAGGTTTCTTCCTCATGAGGGAGTTTTTCCTTTCCACTGTCGCCTTCTTGCTTGCTCAAGATGAGTCTGTGATTAACTTAAACTCAAAGCAGTCTGCTCCTCAGATAATTAACGTTATTAACTTACTTTTTTATATATATGAATGTTTCTGTACAGTTCCATGAGATGACTTCTGTTGTGACTTGACATTATATAAATAAACTGAATTGAATTGTGACATTTACAAGGTGCACCAAATGAAAACTCTGCACCTCGACACTAAAAGGAACAAATAAAATTTGGGGTGTTGGGGGCAGATATCTGAAGGACAAGTAAACAGTAAATTTGGAGAAAATGCCCCAGGCCTAGAACTGCCAGAGGATCTAAGTCAAGCAGCCAGTCTGTGGCAGTCTGTGGCACAGACGTTCCTTCAGTGACCTGACATATATGCATTTTTTTGTAAATACCAAGGACAGCTTCCACTATTCCTATTTTTTCCAGCCATGTCTTTGTGCATTGTGTGATCTGACCTTGGCGTGGCCCTTTTGGAATGTTCACTCTTGAGACAATTGGCAACTGTCTAGAAGCTTTTCTATTTTTCACCTATAGCCCTTCCCAGATGGATGGGCTGCAACAATAGCTCCTTTAAGATCATAACAGAAGTCTTCCCGCGTTGGCACTGTGCTTAGACACACCTGAACACTTTAGATAATTAAATTTTAAAAGTTAAAGTTTTGAAAAGTAGTGAAACAAATGCATTTGAGTCACTGCACTTGGCTACTTCTTTCCGTACCTTCTTAGTTCTCAAAGAAGTGTACAGAAGGTGGACAGAGTATCTCTTTTTAATATTTTGCACACTTCTTCTGCATTGTGAGTTATTCTTTTGCTATATGAGTTTTAAAATCTGACCTCTTAATGGACAAATGATTATTTCTGTCTTGATTCATGTAACCTGGAATCAAACATCTGTGCCTTGTTATGTCAGATTAATGTCTGCATTTTGCTGATATGCATTTTTTGCAACGGGTGCTCAGACACACCGAGTGTACTTTGTCTATTTGTCTTTGAATCTCTGTGGGGTTCAAAGACAAATTAAAGTTTTTGTGGAGACCACACAGATTGAAGCAAGTTGCACAAAGTATTAGCACATAAAACCTTCTTTAACAGATGGGGCTAGATTCCGATGCCTACTCACTTTAAGATTTTATTACTATCTTCTCTTATAAATCAATATTTAGAGTTTTTTATGGATGTTCATTAACCATTTATCTGAACAGCTTTTATCAGAATTAAAGGATCAAAGTTGTATCTGTGGTCCAAGGTATTTAGTTGACTTTTTGAGGGGCATCTCCGTGTTTTGATACACCCTTCAAATGCTTTTAATTCTGAGTAAAAGTGCAATTTATTTATTTTGCTTATAGGTATTTCTGATAAGTCTGTTTTACAGAACCACTGTCATTAATCTCAGTAAAGTATCAAATTCAAAAGAAAATAAGTATTTATATGATACACTTAAATTTTACTGTTTAAGTTGGTAATAGTTACAATTTTATAGATGCATAATTTTAATAAACATTTTGCTGAGTGGCACGGTGGTGCAGTTGGTAGAGCTGCTGCCTCTCAGTGAGAAGGTTGCCAGATTAAATCCCGACCTGGGAACCTTCCTGGACGGAGTTTGCCTTTTCTTTCCGTGGGTTTTCTCCGGGTACTCCGGTTTCCTCCCACATACCAAAAACATACATGTTAGACTGATTGGTAACTGTAAATTGTCCCTAGGTGTTAGTGAGAGAGTGAATGGTTTGTTTGTCTCGTTTGTCTCTATGTGTGTCCCTGTGATGGACTGGAGACCTGTCCAGGGTGTCCCCTCTCTCACAGTTACTGCTGCACATGAGCACCAGAGACACCCCCACCCTTCAACTCGAAAAGGAGGTAGTACATAAAGATTGAGTGACATTTTGATTGATTAAAAAAAAGAATCTTTATTCATGCCATAGCAGTTAAATAAGCTTTTCTAAACCAATGCTGTGAAAGTGAAAAGACAATATTATGATGAAATTTTATGATGGTTTATGCAAATATCAGCTGACAGTGTAGTAGGCTCTGTTCACACACAACAAGAGGGTTTCTCATTTCAAACTGGGAGTTTGTGTGTCGCCCCTATGGATCATATGGTTTACTTTATATGTTAGTAATAACATTTCAGATAGTGTTCTGTTAATTAGGCTCTTTTAATAAATAAAAAAACTTGCCATTAAATGTAAGAGTCATATTAGTTTTTGTAAAAAAAAAATCATCTTAATTTTTTTTGAAGTCTTTGTTTGAACTGCCTGGGTTGCCCAGTTGAGTAGACTAAAATATTTTTCTGGATGATGTAATGCATCTGTGGTGTGTAGCTACCGATGGCTACCTTCTCAATCACTGCTTTGTGCTGAGAGGTGTTTTGATGTAAGGCACACACGCAGGTATATTATATTCTGAATGTGTGTGTGCTCCACTGATACTACTCTTGCTCCGAGCATGCCTCTTCAAAAATAATGCCTCTGAGATTTTTCATTTGATTGTGCTCTCACTAAAGTCTGTAGAGAATTAACAGCTGGACTTTTGGACATGTTGTTTCTTTAACACATATTTGAAGGGGATTAGCATGGCAACTACAGAATGTAGATGTTTATTAG